CTCAACCCCCTCCCCCCCCAAAAAAAGGGCTTTTTTTCATCTCCTTCTTGTACCCTGGGGAACTAACTTGCTTGGCCTGGTTATTGCATTGTCTGATGCTAACTACCCCTTCAGTCTTTTAAAAATGTTTTTAATTGATTTTTTTTTAGAAAGAGACAGGAAGGGAGAGAGAGAAAGAGAAACACTGATTTGTCATTCCACGTATTTATGCAGTCATTGGCTGCTTGTTGTATGTGCCCTGACTAGAAATCAAACCCACAATCTTGGCTTATGGGATGACGCTGTAACCCTCTGAGCTCCCAGCTGGGTTCCCCTTCAGCCTTGGACAGCCACGCTGACTGACCATGACCTCCCTCCCACAGCGAGGGCAGAAGGAGCGGCTGCACAGTCCGCTCCGCCACAGGGGTCCACCACTAGTCTAGCTCACCTCCAAATGTTCAAAGTTGCCAAAACCGGTTTGGCTCAGTGGATAGAGCGTCGGCCTGCGGACCGAAAGGTCCCAGGTTTGATCCCAGACAAGGACATGTACCTTGGTTGCAGGCATATCTCCAGTAGGCGGGGTGCAAGAGGCAGCTGATCAATGATTCTCTCTCTTCGATGTTTCTAACTCTCTCTCCCTCTCTCTTCCTCTCTGTAAAAAATCAATAAAATATATATATATATTTTTTAAATGTTCAAAGCTTGGCACAATGCCTGGCACAGAGTGAGTGTCCCATAAACAAGCTCACCAAAACCTACACAGGTACATGGTCACAAGTCCAGTTCCCGGTCCTACACATATACCCTCCCTTGTCATACACACACACACACATACACACACACACACACACTCACACACACATACAATCACCCACCTATGCACACAGTCCCACTACATGTACCTCATCGCCCATATCCATCTACACACATGCCTGGTTTGGTACAAATACCCACCTGGACACTCAAAGTCCCAGGTCCATGCTCGGCACTGAACACCCACTGTGCCCCAGCCCCAGGCCACTCTCCTTCTGGGGCTTAAACCTACTAAGGGGGATGTGCCCACAACCAAGGTACATGCCCTTGGGAAGAAACTAGCCAGGCACCCAGGATCTCCTGACCCTTAGAAGAGGAAGGACTTTTTCTGGAAGGTGTCAAGCCAGAAGACAGACACTGAGATAAGATGCACAGTCTCTGCTGTCCCTTTAACAGTGAAATAAAGAACCACAGCCTTCCTTACCCAGACATAAGCGCTCCAGGATCCCACCTGGGCCTCATACATCCTTCTGATGTAGAGGTTATTTCCCCCACTTTTTTAAGAAGGAAAACAGGCTGAAGGAGGCTGAGAGTTACAAAAATAAGTGCCTACTGCTTCAGAAGAGAAAAGTATTCATTTGGGAAGCAGGGAGATAAAGGTAGAGATAGAGATCGGTGGTGGAAGTAGAAAGATAAGGGGTCTAAATAGCAAAGTGAAATGCCTAGAAAATTACTGAGCTTCCCCATTCCTCAGACCTGGTAAAGAAAGAGAGATAGAAGTATCAATGATAAGAATCATTGATCGGCTGCCTCCTGCACGTCCCACACTGGGGATCGAGCCTGCAACCCAGGTATGTACCCTGACCAGAATTGAACTGTGACCTCCTGGTTATAGGTCAACACTCAACCACTGAACCATACTGGCCAGGCCATCATTGATGTTTCTATTTCTCTCCCTCCTCTGAAATTTTTTTTAAAGCTGATACGCAGTAGGGTTTTAGTGCCAACAACTTTTACATTACAAATTAACCCACACACATTGCCAAAGCCGGTTTGGCTCAGTGGTAGAGCGTCTGTCTGCGGACTGAAAGGTCCCAGGATCGATTCCAGTCAAGGGCATGTACATTGGTTGCGGACACATCCCCAGTAGGGGTCTGTCTGCAGGAGGCAGCTGGTCGATGTTTCATCGGCATTTCTAGCTCTCTATCTCTCTCCTTCCTTCTCTCTGTAAAATATCAATAAAATATATTTTTTTAAAAGGGGGGGGCATGTACCTTGGTTGCAGGCACATCCCCAGTGGGGGATGTGCAAGAGGCAGCTGGTCGATGTTTCTCTCTCATCGGCGTTTCTAGCTCTCTATCTCTCTCCCTTCCTCCTCTTTGTGAAATATCAATAATATATATATATATATATATATATATATATATATATATATATATATTTAATATATAAAATATATTTAAAAAATAAAATTACAAATTAACTCACACACTGAAACCGGTTTGGCTCAGTGGATAGAGCATTGGTCTGCAGACTGAAAGGTCCCAGGTTTGATCCCGGTCAAGGACATGTACCTTGGCTGCAGACACATCCCCAGTGGGGGGGAGGGGGTGCAAGAGGCAGCTGGTCGATGATTCTCTCTCATCGATGTTTCTAACTCTCTCTCCCTCTCTCTTCCTCTCAATAAAAATATAATTTTTTTAAAACACACAAGTTAACCCACACGTCAACCCTATTTATTAGGTCTTATTAGTTCAATTTTAGAATAAAAAACAAGCTCTGGGGCATTAAGTAACTTGCCCAAGGTCACTAGCTTGTGAGTGAGAAGGTGGACAGACCAAGGTTATTTGACACCAGAGCTTGTCCTTCCCGCACAATGGCCATACTTGGCAGCAGACCTCAGTGGGGGATGGGGGGGAGTGCTGACATGGCCCTAGGGGGACACTGGAAGGCCGGTGCTCCCACAGAGGCAGCACCAAGGTGGCAGGCACAGGATCCACTGGAGCAGGGCTGCATATGAGCAGAGCGAGGTGCGCGCTGCAAAGCTGCTCTGAGAAGCCGGAGCCTGCTGCAGTGTCACAAGGCCCGCTGAGGAAAAACAGGGAAGGGATCTGCACCGGGAGAGGCCTTCCCAACCAGCTGGTAAGAAAATGAGCATAGCCAAAACCTGTTTGGCTCAGTGGATAGAGCGTTGGCCTGCGGACTGAAAGGTCCCAGGTTGGATTCCAGTCAAGGGCATGTACCTTGGTTGCGGGCACATCCCCAGTAGGGGGTGTGTATGCAAGAGGCGCAGCTGATCGATATTTCTAACTCTCTATCCCTCTCTCTTTCTATAAAACCTCAGTAAAATATATTAATTAAAAAAAAAAAAAGAAAACAAGCATGAATGGGATTATCCAGAAGGCTGTCTGTGGGGCTGACAGTGACAACCGTGTGCCCTGGGGGAGGCAGCACAAATGGAAACAAGGGGCGACCAACCTACCTACTCCCCAGCACTCCACGCAGGTCTTCACTGCACACCTGGTCCCAACCTCCAACAGGCCTGCGGGGCCCTGCTTCCTCCCCACCAGCTGACCCTGCTCCGGGCATTGTCCTTGTGTCACTGTTCCCACAGCAAAGCCTCTCCCTCACCATCCCCTCTGCCCAGGGGCTCTGACTCACTCCCCTCCCTCCTCCGGAAAACCCTCCCGCACCCTCCAGCCAGTGAGGCCATCGGCAGCCCAGGCACCTGCTGGCACCTGCAGCTGTTTCTTTTCCCTTCTTAGAATCGGAAATTATCCTATTGATTACCCTATTCTTGATGTAGTCCGTTGCCTCCCACAGACATGAAGCTCCATGAGGGTAGGAACCCTGTCCATCCTGTCCCATACAGTTATTGCCAGAACCTTAAAAAAGGACCTCCCCACGAATCTGTGTGCGAATGATGCAGGGGAGGGGAAGTGAAGAGGAACTGAAAGAAAGTGGAACGAAGACAAGCTTTCTCGGGTTTGCCTTTCAGACACGATATGTTGCAGGTGATGTGGGCTACCCAGGGGGGACAGATCTAACTTAAACAGACAGCAAAAGCAGGCGAACTGAGGATGCAAAGAGAGAAATGCAATGGTGAGAATCAAAGACGCGCGTCAGGGAGAAGTGTCAGAGGAGGGGGTGAGTCCTCCCAGAAGCATGCATAAGCCTGGAGCTCCTCAAAACTTGAAGGTAGCGACAGGATGCAGGGAGCAGGGACAGACTGCACTCATGGTCACACACATGTCAGAAGTGAGCATGAACCTTGCTCCTCCCTCCAAACAGGAGACGGTAGCACCCAGGCGGAGCAGGAGACTTACCCATGGGACAGCATCTCCCCAGAGGGCTGGGGGAGTCACGGCCAGAGAGCCAGAAGGGGCGGGGCTGAGCCCAAGGCGCAGCCGCGTGTAGTGGCCCAGACCTGGTAGAGAAGAACGCTCTGAACTCAGCCACTTCCTCCTCGATGCTGTCCACCAGGCCAAGGGTCCCCGCAGAAACAAGCCCCTGCACTAACGATCCCCAGAAAAGGCACAGGTGAGGTGGGGCTGGCCTCCAACCACCCACGGTAGCCTGCTTCTCCCTCCAGCCCTACTCCTCCGTCAAGTCGGGAGTCCAGGGCGTGCCTGCCTGCCTGTCCAGGGCCTCCTTCCATTGGGAGGGGAGGAGCTACCTGGAGCTCCACCTGAGTGCAAGCTGACAGGGCCGCAGGAGGGCGGGTGGGGGCAAGGACCAGGAAGTAACCCTGGCCAAGTAAACACCAGCCAATGAGGGACGTTTTTTTAGTCCACAGCCTCCAACGGGCCTGCAGGAAAACCCAGGGAAGCCCCATTCCTCACCAGAGGTAGGGGAGGGAAAGTGAAGAGGAACCGATTATCCAGAAGACTGTCCGTGGGGCTGCAAGGGGGGGATCTGAGATCAACCCACATCCCCAGGGAATGGAGGTGCTCAGAGGAGAGGGTAGCTTGAGCATGAGTCATTCGCCAGGTAGCTGTATGCAAAACAAGGCACAGAGGTACTACCTGTGCAGACCCACCCACTCAGGGTGTTTTGAGGGACCGGCCCACCCTCCCAGCCCACCTTGGAGCAGGGTTAGGCCAAGCAAGAGCAAAAAAAGGATCTGGAAAGGGACATGAGCCACTGAAATGGCAGAGGGAATCCGGGGCCAGGAGGTGGGCTTGTTAGGTCACAAAAGAACGACGCCGAGAATAAATCACAGGCATGTTTATTATCCACCGGGACACTGTCACAGGGGAGGCCAGCTCTCAGGAGGCGGCGACGCTGCCCCCTGACGCAGGCCCATGGGGTGGCAGTGTCATAGGCGGCAGGAACAGTGCCTTCAGCTTGCCCGACAGGCTGGCAATCTCAGGATCCTGGGCTTCGTAAGACTTGACCAAGCGGGCAAACTTCAGGACACCTGCAAGGGGGGGATTCTGAGGTCAACCCACATCCCCAGGGAATGGAGGTGCTCAGAGGAGAGGGTAGCTTGAGCATGAGTCATTCGCCAGGTAGCTGTCTGCAAAACAAGGCACATGAACGGCCTCTGCCTGCCCTGGGGGGTTGAATCAACCACTTTCTGGCCTACACGGAGCACAACTAGACGGGATGCAGGAAATGGAAATATCCCGAAGCAGTGAGCTTCTCCCTATTAGGTGAGCAATTTTAGCAATTTAGTCAGAGGAATCCAAAGTATGAACACCCCAGGAAAGACCCCATATCTGTAACCACAGCGCACGAGGGCCATGGGGTAACTAAGGTAACAGTTCACACCCTTGGGGAATACCATGAGCTCATTAAAGAAACTGAACCTCCAACCCTCAAACAGGGAGCGGCCGCAACACCTGGGAGGGGTTGCGGAAGCTGCTAGTGTGCAGACTAAACGCTTTCAAAACGGGATTCCGGTCCAGCTCTGCTGTGACGACCCTCCGGCGCTTAGTTTACTACAAGAAATGTTTCCTCGTCTCAAAATGGGATAATAGTATGAATGGTAACTACAAAATGCACTCAGGACTTCACCTGGCACATTTCAGAGTAGATCCTAGGCTCTCCGTGCCAACGCTATTAGTCGGATCCGGCTGCCTCCGTGTGGCGAGAAGGGAGACGACAGCTCCAGGACACAATGAATCCACACCTTTTTCTCCCCAACCAACCCTGCCGACCCACCTTCCCCGTCGCAGCTGAAGCCGTAGGCCTTGATGACCTCCTGCTGGATCTGCGTGGCCACGGGCAGCACGAACTGCAGCATCTTGCCCATGTCGTTGCACGCGTTGTCCCGGGCCTCGTCCATGCGCACGGCGTTCTCCGGGGCCGAGAACGCCTGGATCACCTCGGCCAGGACCACTGTGCGGCCGGTGCAGCCCAGGGTGGCGTCCCGGGGGAGGCGTCGGGGCACGGCCGGCAGGCCCAGCCGACACGGCGGGGAAGAGGACAGGGAATTAGTGGGCTGACGCCGCGGTAACCCGACAAACACGGCCCCGAACCCCCTCGCTCTAGGGCACCCCTCTCGGAGGAGGGAGGAGGATGGTACCCCGCGCCCGTCTCCCTGTCACCCCCCGCCGGCCCCCTCCTCCGGCAGGCGGCCCCCCGGGGACGAGGATGCTGTGCGGCTCACCCTTGGCCTGCTCGGCGCTCAGGGCCGCCGCCTGGGCCGAGGCGGACGCCATGGCGCAGCCAGACCTAGGAACGTCCGGGAGGAGAGGGAGGTCTCGGACCGGTTCTCCGGGCGGTGGGGGCGGGGGAGGTGTCAGCCGCCGCCGGAAGTCCCTCGTGCGCCCCCAGAGCACCCCAACGAGCCCCCCAGGAGTTGGGAATATCAGGTGTGTGTGTGAGATGCCCTAGGAACTCGCACTCGTCCGGACTTCTAGCCGTTCTATTGTTTCCATGAACTCGCTTTGGGGGAGGGCCTTCCGGTCGAGCCGGAAGACCTGCTGGACAAATTCAAAAAGAGCTGTAAGCACTGCAGGGCGGGCCCCGGAGAGAACGCGCAGGACCCGTGGACTCCGGTAAGGGTGAGGGTGACTCACAGCGGACTTTCCCAATCCCCCCCGCTGCACAAGCAGCGACGCGCACCGCCACTTTCACAAGGAAAAACCGCGTTTAAGGGGCTTATTTCATGTGCACTCCTGGAGTTTGCAAACGTTTGATGCGACCGTATGCAAATGAGGTCGATGCTGATTGGCTGAGAGGTCACACCTTTTGGTTTTTAAGAACGGAGACGGTGATTTGCAGCAGTAAAAGCTTGGAACTCAAACAGCGGTCGCCCTTTGAGAACGGGGCCTTGTGTAGGAATGCTGAAGCGTAATGCCTTCCAACTTCTAGGCGTTTGAACTGGTCAACTACTCTCTTCTCAAACCACAGGGTAGACTCCTGGGTTGTAATCGCTTTAATGTTGAAACAAGGCTCTTGGAGCTCTGCTTCATGTCTCAAAGTATTCTACAGATTCAGACTGGTCCTCCTGGCTGTCACACCTCAGCATGGCAGTGGTGGTTCAGTGGTTAACCGGGGTTACAGGCTCATGGGGAGTTGGAGGGTTGCAGGAAGCAGCCATTCAATGATTTTTCTCTCATTGATGTTTCTATCCCGCTCTCCCCCTCCCTTCCTCTGAAATTAATAAAAAGTGTATTTTAAAAATAAAACCCTCAGAAGTCAGTATTTCCTAGACCTGATCTTGGCAGAGACGGGCCTATCCCAGGCCTCCAGCATCCTGATGGGAGTATCCTTTTCAAATGTCCAGGGTCCCTCCCCCCTGTTCTTCGGAAGGCCCATCCCTTCCAACTTCCCAGTCTCTCTGGAGGTCCCACTGAGTAGACAACTTCCCACCTCTCCACCCCCACCTCACAGCCCGAAAATAAGGAGTCACAGCCATCTTCCTGGGGAGTTGTGAGGACGTTTTGTTTGGTTGGTTTTGGTTGGGATGTTTTTAAAGAGCATCATATAGATATTTATATATATAAATTATTAATGTGGGGCAGGGGCAGGGGCAAGGGGCATACATTGCAGAGGGGGGCGCGCACACAGGGGTTGGGTAGAGGCAGGGGTGGCACACAATGCTACGCAAAAACAGCCACGTCTAACAGATGAAATAATCACACCAACGGGGCGGGCGGGAGGGTGGCCACGGGCTGGGCACGGGAGAGGGAGAAAGCAGGGGGACAAAAAGAGGGACCTGGTCCAAGATACTGTGCGCTTCTGCCCCCACCCCCGCCACCTCCCCACCTCTGCACACCACAGGAGCCTCGGTTTCCCTTCCTTCTCTTCCTCCCTTCCTCTGCTCAGCTGCTGAGGCCCTGCAACTGAGCAGCGCCCCTCCTCGCTCTGGGTGGCAGGCTGGGAGGGAGATTTCCAAGATCCAGATGCACACTTGGGTGTTCTCTTGATTGCAGGCTTACAGTGGCTTGTCACTTTCCTTTTTCAGGTGACTAGGAGTAGAACAGAGATATGTGACCGAGACCAAATCTGACCTGACCCCTCTCACAGAGAAGGGTGGAAGAGGGGATCCCTCCCCAAAAAGACTACCACCAAGTTGTACCATGCCTACACCCCATCCCAGGCTTCCATCCCCTCACTCCTGGCCGAGGGGAGCCCAGTCGTACCTGTAGTAGTCCTCCTGGGCAGGTAGCGGCACACTGTGCAGTGGGTGATGGGCATGCAGCCACTGCTGCTGTTCCAGCGCCAGGCGCTGCAGCTCGGCGGACTGTGCGTGCATGGCCTGCAGCTGGTGAGCTGCTGACATCGGGGCAGAGAGGGAAGCTGGCAGGTCCCGGTAAGGAGCAGCTGTAGGCGGCAAGGGCACAGGGCAATGAAGGATGACCTCCTCTGAGCCAGAAGATAACCAATCACTTTACATGCAGAGGAAACTGAGACTAAAAATGTTAGGTAACAGCAGTCTTGAAAAATGCCAGTGGTGGAGTTAGGATTCAAACTTCTCAGCCTGGCAATAAACCTATGCCTCTTCAGTGAAGCTACTCCCATCCCCAGCTCCTCTGGGCACTTTCTCACCCATCCCCAGGCCCAATCAGGCCAATCCCACCACCCAAATTCCTCCTCTCTGCTCTTCTCTTATTGACCTTCCCTATGCCCAGCCTTCATCCTTACCAAAGAGCTGGTGACGAAGAACTTCATTCTCGTGCAGAGGGTGAGGAAGAAGGGGGTTGGGGAGGGTCCCAGCTGGGTAGGGTATCCGGGTAAGGTGAGACCCTGAGGCCAGAGGGTCAATGAGAGGGTGCACTGAGGCAGACGCTGGAGGGTAAAAAAGAGGAAAGTGTCACCAGAAGGCAGGTTTGGGGAAAACCATGCATGTAGTGAAGGGGTCCAAGCCTGGGGAGAGAGGTGGTAAATCAAACACAGGGAGATCCAGAGTGGAATAAGGAGCATAAAGGACAAGTATAAGATGCTAAGGGAGCAGGGACAGACTGACGGACAGATTAGTTTTCAGAGGGGTCTGAGGAAAAGGAAAGGGAGAAGTAGTCTGCTTAGAGATGAAGGATAGAAAGTTTAGAAATGAGACAGGAAGAGAACAGAGGTTAACAGAGAGAAAGCTCAAGGGAGGTTGGAATGAACATGAGTGTATGGTTACATTGGGCAATAAGAAATCCAGTGAGCCGGTTTTGGCTCAGTGGCTAGAGCATAGGCCTGCGGACTGAAGGGTCCCAGGTTGGATTCTGGTCAAGGGCATATGCCCAGGTTATGGGCTCCATCCCCAGTAGGGGGCATGCAAGAGACAGCCGATCAATGATTCTCATTTTTTATGTTTCTCTCTCTCCCCCCGCCCCCTTCCCCTCTGAAATCAATAAAAATATATATTTTTAAAGAAATATAGTAAAAGGACAGTAAGTAAAGCTCATTATCACCTATGATGCTCACCACCACAGTTACAAGGCTCTTTCTGAAAGGCACAGAGATGGGGAGGAACACAAAAGACCTGCAGCTGGGAGGCGAGAAGATGGCAAGAAATCACAAGAGCTGAATCCAGAGGAGCAAGAAAACAGGTATGTGAGGGTCAGGGGAAATGGGCTGATGGGCTATAATGGCAGAAAAGCAGTGCTCTCTCAAAGGGATCCAGCTTTGGCCTCTATCACGGGTGGGACACTAGACTGAGATGGTGGGGATGTGGGGAACAGTCTCTGTGGCAAGGCTAGGGTGTGAGGTGACAGGCTGGTGAATGACAAGGAAGCACTTAAGAGAGAGAGCTCATGCCAGACTAGGAAGATCCTGGATTGAGGAACAGAAGAGCCCAATCACTTGCAAGGGTGGGAGAGGGGGCACACCAAGGAAGGAAGAAGGAGTCTCACCTGCATGGATGGCATCCTGCTGGTGAAGGTGCAGGTGAGAGTGGATGTGGGAGTGCTGGTGGTGATGGGGGGTCACATTGAGCATCTGCAGCCGGGCCAGTGGGTCATTGCCCAGGGCTGCCACCCTTTCTGCATGCTGCCTCTCAGCTGCCAGACGCTCTGCGTAGGACATGTCAGGCCGCAGGGCTGGCCCTGCAGCCAGCGCCAGACGTTCTCTCTCCAGGGGCCCCAGACTCGGATGAAAGGGGAAAGGGTGCAGGCCAGGGGGGCCAGGCTGCAGAGCTAGGCTTCCATGTCGGGGGAAGGGATCCAGGCCAGGCCCAGGAACCCCATGTAGGGGTTCCAGCTCACTGGGCTTCACCTCAAAGCCAGGCTTGAGGCGGTCACGGAGGTCTCTTTCTCGGGCCTCCCGCTCCCTCTCCCGGGCTGCTGGGTCACTGCTGTACAGGGCTGGGACATTGTAACCCAGGAGTCCTGGGTCCACTGCCCCCAGGGGCACGTAGAACGGATGGTTGCGATTGCCAGGAGACATGACGTGAGGCCGGGCATATTCACTGAGTGTGCGCAGGGCTGGAGTGTCAGGACCCAGGTAGGGGGGCACTGTAGCCACAGCACTGCCCGGCTCAAATGGAGGGCGATGGGGCACTGGGCCAAGAGATGGGCACTCCACTGGAGCACGGCCCTCCTGAGCCAACTTCTGTGGGGTACAGGGAGAAAAGAAGTCAGAAGAGCATCCTTGTAAAATGGTGGCCAGGCCCTATCTGGTGTGGCTCAGTTGGTTGGAGCATCAACCTGTCCACCAAAAGGTTGCAGGTTCAATCCCGGGTTGGGACATAGGCAGAAAGCAACCCACCATGTTTCTCTCTTCCTTCCTCTTTCTAAAAATCAATAATAAAAAAGATGGGCAATCCTGAGCTGCTAGCTTATCTCAGCAGCAGAATGCCAAAATACCTCGTCTTATTGGAACTCAGCCCACCAGGCATTTCCCTACCCACTTCTCCAGAATAGCAGCTCTTCTTACAATCCACAGGTAGTCTGACCTGAGCCCACCCCCAAACCTGGCATCCCTCTTCCAGGAATCCTTTGGGCTCCATTTCCTGGGCTGCAGTACTTCCTCCCTCCAAGAGGTGGCGCAGTGACCCCCCCCCGCCCCTTGAGCCTGCCTGCGCGGCGCACTAGGAACGCCGGAAGGCGGGAGGCGCACGCCGTGACGCACTCACCACGCTCCGCTCCAGCTCGCGTTCCTTCTCGCGCTCGCGCTCCTTCTCGCGTTCTCGCTCGCGCTCGCGCTCCTTCTCTTCGCGCGCGCGCTGTTCGGCCTCGCGCCGCACCTTCTCCACCAGGTCGGCCCGCTTCTTGGCCAGCTTGGAGCC